GTGAATAAACGATTTGATGTCCTCTCTGCGCCCCTCCTCAGGCGCTCCTGGGTGCTGCTCAGCTGCTCCCTCGCCGCCCTGCTCTCCCTCAGCCTGCTGCTCCACCTGCTCCGGGCGTGTCGCGGCGCCGCCTGCCAACGGGAACCTGGAGGCCTCGACTACTCGTACGTCCCGCTGACGCACATCAACGGAGACGCCGGGAAATCCGGTTTCCAATTGGACGACTCGGACTCTCAGGATGAAATCTGGTCTCCGTCTCGCTCGGGGAGGACGACGAGTAAAAACTCTCTTATTGCACAAACACCTGCTGAATGTAATCTATAAAGAGAGGTGCAGGGAGTCTGTGCTTTAACCAGGGAGATGTTGCCTTCAGGGTCCAATGGGATTTCTCCATGTGATTTGGGATTATTGCTGAAAATAATCTCTGTGGCAAACACATATTTACACGTTTAGTTCAGCAGGATAATCTCCACATATTAACACCACTTTATGACAGCCTGGTCACATGACTTCACGTCACCACCGCTAAGCTAATGGTGGCTAATGTTGGGCGTGGTGACGTTTAGTCGTCTCATTTAGACAATTGTTGGCAACCTCTGTTTTTAAATCCACCAGTGAGGGATTAACTGACGTGTTTTATGTCGTAGAATATAATCTTGTGATAACCACAGACCTTATTTCAGGATAACTAAAACACCTAAAAAACGTCCAGACCGGGGAACAGGAAGTGCTGAAATGCTGACTCATTTCCAGGGTTAAAGACTCATTCCTGCACCTTTCTTTTTTTGTCGAATTTCCAACGAATGAAGTGAGTTTTGTTACTGGTTTTTGTTTACAGCCTTTTAAGCTGAAAGGCGATCAGAGGTCAAAGCTCTATTCCTCTCTCAGCTTCATTTGTAAATGTCTCTTTCTGCTGTCTCACGGAAACAGATACACTTTGATGTTACTGAGTTTTTTTAATTAGACATTTTCTTATGAACATGGGGGGGGGGGTTTATACACGTCGTCATGCACCGAGCTCCGTCTGAATGTAAAATAACTTTGAGCTCAATGTGCACATTTATATCGGAGAAAAACAATTCTAAAGAAGCACAACTTTCTGCCACAATTCTTCTTATCAAAACGTCTTACTGCTGAAACACATTCCTGATGTCATCTTCTCGATGTCTGTCTGCCAGTTTTCAACATGAATAAATGTGAATATTAAGACTTACTTTTGACTGCTATTTAAAATGTCTCTGAGTGGTTTTTATTGTCACCTGCTTTGTGGGGGGGTATTAAATGGGTCATACCACAATATCTATAACATGTCTATATATACATGCCCAAAATGCTAAAACATGCAGTAGTGTGCTAGATATGCTATACTCATATTCAAAATATGATTTCAAATATCAAATATCTCTAGAGAAGTCAAGTCACATGACACACAGGAAATGACATCGTCAAGCCGTGTTGGACTAAAGGTAAGTCCTTTCTTTTATCATATTCTAATTTAATTACATTGTTTAAACGTCTCCTGCAGATTTGTTGCTTATTCAGATTTCTCAGGGCTCATTACAAAATATTAGTTAATCATTTTGTTTGTAAACGTCACAAAATGATTAACGTGTTATTTGTGCCGTTTTCAACATAAATCAATGTAAATATTAAGATTTAATTTTTTGTGAATACGACCTAAAAAAAGTCAAAATGCTTTTGTGTGAAAATCTTAATTTGTAGAGTAACTTAAAGTGCCATCAAATAAAAAATAAAGAAGTGCTTTCTCTTCCGGCTCTGTGTGAGGACAGACTCGGCAGCATCAGTTTCTCTTGTTGCTGTTAAAATGAGCCGACTCGTCCCGTCTGTCGGCTCTCGGACTCGGGTCACAAAAACCTTTAACTTGACCTTTGACCTCCACCCGAAAACACTTTGTTCCAGTTTCAGGTTTAAAAGAAAAGGTCATGGTTTGGCTCAAAATAAAGAAATGTGTCACGTTATTTATGGTCCCCTCTCATGTAGTGAGTTATATAGGTTCTAGTGCAGGTCAATGGTCTGCAGAGGCTACAATCACTGTGTTCCCTCCAGAGGGATTGTTTCACGTGTGTGTGTGTGTGTGTGTGTGTGTGTGTGTGTGTGTGTGTGTGTGTGTGTGTGTGTGTGTGTGTGTGTGTGTGTGTGTGTGTGTGTGTGGTGTGTGTGTGTGTGTGTGTGTGTGTGTGTGTTAGAGAGAGTGACACACACTCCCCCTATGTGTGTGTGTATAGGTGTGTGTGTTAGAGAGAGTGACACACACACACAGCCCGACCCACATTCCTGTCTGCATGTTTACATTCTGATTGACGATGGCTGACACACACACCCTCACACANTTGGACATTGGATTTTACGTTACATGTTGTATTTACCATTGGATGAGTGGAATTGACAATTTATGAGACTTAAATAATTGAATAGTTTAATGTTATAAACTGATATATTAAACGTATTCTTGACATTTTTTATAAAACGAACAACGCGATGACTAATAATATTGTATTTGTCTGAAAAATTTACTATGTCTATACTTTGGTGTATAATGAGTGTAGTAGTTGCTAGTTGATATGTTCTACGTAGAGTGTGTTATTTTAGTTGTGTTCAATGACTGTATATTGAAACAAGTTTTGAACTTTATTGTTTATTGACATTTGTTGTTATACACTGCGACGATTCTTGTTACACACTGCTACCATGACAAATGTTTTCTGTCTTACCGACGTGTCGGGGAATCGCCCCGTATGTAGGTTGGAGTACCTCTACCAATCTAATGTCATTTGTAAACAAACTTTTGTTTATGTGTTATTATCGTTTGATTTTATTTGTAACTGTATGTGTATTATTTCATTTTTATAACATTATTTGATTTTTATTTTTTTGTTTTTATTCCCAACAGAGTCTGGTGTTGATATAAACCACGTTCAAAAATCCAATCAAAAACTACTCCTTACCGACGACAAGGAATTCTTTGTTGTGTATACTACCTAGGGGAGAGGGTGGTAGGAGTATGTACTAGTACAAGACTTATTGTTGTGTTGTTTTATTCGTTGTTTGTAGTATGTAACGTGTATCATATATTGATTAACAAGATATGAATCCAATTATATCGTATAAATTTAATATTTTTATATTAAATTCCAAAAAGTTACCGAATCGGTACACAAAAGACTCGGTCTACAGACTCGTGGAGCAAGAAAGGCACCGGTCACACAGTTACAGACAAAAATCGCACAGCGACCACGACATCCGTAGGCATCTTGTCGCACTCTCAACAGCAGTCACTACGCACTAGACAACGACAAAAACAAATCTAAGTAATAACTTTTGTAGACAAGTCGTGTCTATCCCACGAGGCGTTTTGTATCTTCCTTGTGCCCGTCGTACTCAGCTTCGACACCGGTACTTCCGTCCCCCTCATTCTGCCGATTTTCGAGGACCTACATGGTGGCGACCTTGAGAAACGAGAGTCGTATAGCGTAAACTTCTGGATAATTTGGTGAGGAAGACGGCAAGCGAACCGCGACGGCGGCACGTGATGCAGCCCACCCACTTTCCTCGACTGTGCTCTACCGTTGGCCGTTTGGTCTCACGACACGATAGACTTCTATTCTCTTCACCGGCTACGTTTGTAGTAAGTAGTTCGTCCGAGTCAAACCATCCGATTGACTCCCGTGTACTCCTTCATAGTCGCCCTGTACTCCGACTCTACGAGACTCTTTGGGTCCTTTCATCCGTTCTAACAGGACAATAGTGAACCGTGTAGGTATTCCAGTTGCAAAAAGTGCGACCTTTCTCCGGCACTAGCACCAGCCTTAGACCGCACTACTCGAACAAACGCGCGGACGGTCGAAGACTAAGTCAACCCCGGCTCTAACAAGTCCAATACAGTCCGTCGTTTGTATCTTTCAGCTGTGTCGGGTCAAACTAGACGTCAACTCTGTTCCCAACTAAGGAAATGTGAGACGCGTACTTTCGGTCGTTACAGAAGATTCGAGTTTTAGGCAAACTCCTGAAACGGGATCGAGTCGCCGGTGGAATGAAGACATACCATGCCGTGCAGAGGCACGAGGCTCGGGTAGAGGACCCGTTCTTGTCGACCTTGACTCGCTACTAAGTCCGTGCGCGGGGCTTACTTCAAGTCCGACAGAATGTACTGCGCACCAGTGATATGTAGGTAGGGGTCGTCGGCAAGGCGTTGTTCGAAGAACTACCTATTACCGTTACTATGCCAATAGTCTCCCACACTTTCATCGAAGAACCGTAAAAGAGGAAGTAATCAGGTGGTTCGGGTGCGAAAGAAGGTGTGTAACGTCCACGTTGCGCAGACATCAATTGTAGGGTGGTTCAAAAGAGGTCCCGTTACGCAAAAATGATCTGTCCTCGAGAGTGGGTAGTTTTTACAGGGCAGGGCAACAACCGGGTACGTACCCGTCCGGTGTAGGTTCGCTCGACGGAGTCACTGTCTCTCCAGCTCGAAGTGCCGGGAGGTACTAGTTTTTATTCTATCGACGCGACATAGGCACAAACAGGACACGAAAGTAGTTGTCGATATTTTCGCTACATCGACGCAAGAGAAGCCGGGACACACGGATCCAAGGACGATCAAGGAATTGACGTCCAGGACGCACCACAAAGACTATTTGAACTGTAAATAATTTCAGACATTAGTTTACATTTATAAGTTACATCTGGCCCTTTGAGGGCAACGATTATGCTGATGTGGCCCTCGGTGAAAATGAGTTTGACACCCCTGCTCTAATGCAATAAAAGTACTTAAACCACACTGTACAAATATTCTCTTACAGTAAGAGTTCTGTTTTGAAATGTTCCGTCAGTCATAGTTTAATCGAGGAGAAGTATTAAAAGAAATAAAATGTGCAAGGCTGTAACAAATTCAATGATTGTTTATGTAAATAACATAATATCACAACTAATTTGACTCAAGGGGTTACACAGGTCAACTAGACATAGATGACAGATCAAAAAAAGTCCGAAGTGACACCTTCACAAAGTACAGTAAAGCATAAACAAAGGGAAAGTCGCCCCACTGTGATGTAAAAAAAGATACTGTAAGTTATTTTATCAAGAAACTATCTTTAAATAATGACTTGTCATTTGTTGGACTCACAGGCAGCATGGCATTGAAGAGGTGGGTGATGAAGGAGGCTCCGTGTTGAACGGCCTCCTCCGCCTGAGACATGTTGGCCACAGAGTGACCTGCAGGAGCAGAAGCATTCTGTTAATAGAGCCAGAGGAGCTAAATGCAGCTAACAAAACTGCATCATGTGTTTTTTGTTTTGTAGCTTTTATTTACATTTTAAATGTTGGCTGTGTGACTTTTTATTTATATTGCAAGTGTACCCTCCGTTTCTTTCAAATGTACATCATAACGTTTTTTGTAATTTGAGGTGTAAAACACACCTTCTCAAAGCAGTATTTATCCTTGAGTTTTTTGGATGTGAGTAAACGCTGCTCACCTAACGACACCGTGATTCCCTTCTGGCAGAGATCCCTGATCACCGATTGGCTGCCGTCCAGCTCCGGAGCCAATGTCACCATGGCAACGCTGTCCAGGCCGCCGTAGGTTTCCATCAGGTCCCTGAGCCCGCCGCTACTGAAGGTCCTGAGAAACTGCTCCGGGTGAGCTCCTTTCTTCTCCAGGCTGATGAACGGGCCCTCCAGGTGAAATCCTGCAGACAGGAAATATACAATTATATTTATGAAAAGATAGATACAGATAATACAATATTTTAAAGGGTATGTCTGCCAATGTTGGGGTATATCAAAACCTGATGTATCTCGGTACTGTCCTACTGACACAAATACTCTCTTGAAAAAATGTTGTTACATTTGCAGATAAGTAGAAAAGCAAAGATTCAGAAGTCCTAACATTTGGGAAAAGAAGGTTGTAATATTTAGAGTGGTTTTATTTCAACTCAATCCCACAAACACCGTCCTTTTGAAACAAATATTCACTAGAGAAAAAAAGTCAAGCAAGGTGGAAAAGGACAATTATAATTTAAAGAATTTTTAAATGAATTTATTTGAAAACATTTATTTAATTTTATATTTAATTTTTATAATTCAAAAAGTTACCAGACATTTTGTGGGGGCAATTCAAGCTTTAAAATACTTTTTATGTAAAAATTGTTAAAAAATAAGTAATATTTCAAGAAAAAACAAGCTAATATTTAAGAATAAAATAGAAAGATAAAGAAAATCTTAATAATTCCTCCTTTTTGTTGATGAAGCTAAACAGAGCCACCAACAGGAAGCAAGACAATATTAAGAAGCAATAACAAATTGTTGGTTTTCATGGGAAGACAAAACACAACATAAATATACAGAATATATCCAGATTAATCCTCTAACATGATCCAGTCAGATTACACTCACCAAGAACTCCAGCTCCATGCGCTCCTCCATCGTGAACTTTGACCTGAGGCAAAACCTGAAACACAGTTTGAGTAAGATTCTATTTTGTAGAAGAAATACAAATGTATTTCAGTCCTTATTTGAAATCCAAAACAATGCACATGTTAATATGTTTATAAATAAATAACATCAGGCATTTAATTTGTAAAAGATATCTGATTACAATTATCTAGTCTGATATTGCAAATGTGATATGATACACAATATTGTAGGGAATTATACTTTTTGTATAAATATTCTTATTCTTTATATATATAAAATAAAATAAAATATATGAAAAGAATTATGGTGTGATTTTCGCCTTTAAACATCTCTTATGATTTGGATTTTGCAGTTATCAATATTGTGAAATGAATTCATTCTTATTGATTGTAAATAGTTTGGTGCTTGATATACAAACAATGCAGGACCTATACTGGCTATCCCTCCTCTGGTTCCTGATGTGGAATAAAGATTGAAAGCTGGTTATAGGTGTTACCTTGTGGTAGACGTGGGGGGGTGATGTGACCAGCGTGGGGCAGAAGGACGTCACGCCATGCTCCAGGATCTTTTTGGCCACTAAAGAAACTCCACTGCCGGCATCGTCGCAGGCCTGAGAGAAATCGATCCCGTATCCTCCTGCAGACGAAATGACATGTTTCATCTGAATAATCTCCAAAAGGAAGATTCTCATGGCTTGCTCATTAAGCTTCAGAGTGTTTGTTTGCAGTTAAGAATGAGTTGCATGTTCAGTTTTTAGTTAGGGGACCAAATTAAAAAAACATTTGCGATCTCTCTGTGAACTTTTGTTTAACCTTTTTTTTTTTAATCACAGATGAATAGAGTGCCACAGTGGTTTGTCAGCATTTTACCACTTCCGGTTCCTTTGACAAAAACCAATGCAATTTCTCCATAGGATTTTGGAAAACAGCTCGAAATAAGGTCTGTGGTTGGCACACATTGAAGAGGCGGATCACGTTTTGTTCATTCGGATAATATCCACTTGTCTACCCTACTTTTATAATTTTCTAATCATCAATCTAATCGATAGATTACTTATTTCGAGCTATTTTCCAATGGAGAAATTGCATTGGTTTTTGTCGAAGGAACCGGAAGGAGTACTTCCGGGTTTTAGGACGCGTCACTGTGGCACTCTATAGACACTGATTGTAAGTTGCAGACATAATAAAATATTCCTAATTGTTGTAGACTAATGTATTCATTTATGTATTGATCTATAAAGGTTTACCTATGTTGGTGTTCAAACGAAAAAAATATTACACATGATATGAAAGAGCAGTATTTAAATGTTTTCTTTGTCTGGGGGAGGGGGGGGTGTTACCATTGATCTGAACGTCTATAAAGCCCGGGGCGATGATGCTGCCTTCACAGTCCACACACTTGTCGGCGTAACCGTGCTCATCGAAGAAAAGTTTCTCTGGATCTAAAATCTTTCCGTCACGCACCCACAGGTCCTCTCTGCATGAAAACATGAAAACACACACACACACACACACACACACACACACACACACACACACACACACACACACACACACACACACACACACACACACACACACACACACACACACACACACACACACACACACACACACACACACACACACACACACACACACACACACACACACACACACACACACACACTTTTTACTCCATTAGCTTTATAGATTACAGTTTTTATATAGCTTACTGTATGTAGGGCAGGTAAGATACATGTACAGTAAGAAAACATCAGGATGTAGCGTTCCTTTATGAAGAACATTTTCCCTCCTCTTAGACTAAATATTGTCTTTAAAATAACTCTTGGATCAGCTGGAATATGTATCGTCACCAAACCCAAGAATAGTTGAGTTTCTAGAGATACAGTGGGGCAAAAAAGTATTTAGTCAGCCACCAATTGTGCAAGTTCTCCCACTTAAAAAGGTGAGAGGCCTGTAATTTTCATCCTAGGTATACCTCAACTATGAGAGACAAAATGAGAAAAAAAAACCAGAAAATCACATTGTCTGATTTTTAAAGAATTTATTTGCAAATTATGGTGGAAAATAAGTATTTGGTCAATAACAAAAGTTCATCTCAGTACTTTGTTATATACCCTTTGTTGGCAATGACAGAGGTCAAACGTTTTCTGTAAGTCTTCACAAGGTTTTCACACACTGTTGCTGGTATTTTGGCCCATTCCTCCATGCAGATCTCCTCTAGAGCAGTGATGTTTTGGGGCTGTCGCTGGGCAACACAGACTTTCAACTCCCTCCAAAGATTTTCTATGGGGTTGAGATCTGGAGACTGGCTAGGCCACTCCAGGACCTTGAAATGCTTCTTACGAAGCCACTCCTTCGTTACCCGGGCAGTGTGTTTGGGATCATTGTCATGCTGAAAGACCCAGCCACGTTTCATCTTCAATGCCCTTGCTGATGGAAGGAGGTTGTCACTCAAAATCTCACGATACATGGCCCCATTCATTCTTTCCTTTACACGGATCAGTCGTCCTGGTCCCTTTGCAGAAAAACAGCCCCAAAGCATGATGGTTCCACCCCCATGTTTCACAGTAGGTATGGTGTTCTTTGGATGCAACTCAGCATTCTTTCTCCTCCAAACACGTCTAGTTGAGTTTTTACCAAAAAGTTCTATTTTGGTTTCATCTGACCATATGACATTCTCCCAATCCTCTTCTGGATCATCTAAATGCTCTCTAGCAAACTTCAGACGGGCCTGGACATGTACTGGCTTAAGCAGGGGGACACGTCTGGCACTGCAGGATTTGACACCCTGGCGGCGTAGTGTGTTACTGATGGTAGCCTTTGTTACTTTGGTCCCAGCTCTCTGCAGGTCATTGACTAAGTCCCCCCGTGTGGTTCTGGGATTTTTGTCCACTTGTGATCATTTTGGCCCCACGGGGTGAGATCTTGCGTGGAGCCCCAGATCGAGGGAGATTATTAGTGGTCTTGTATGTCTTCCATTTTCTAATAATTGCTCCCACAGTTGATTTCTTCACACCAAGCTGCTTACCTATTGCAGATTCAGTCTTCCCAGCTGGTGCAGGTCTACAATTTTGTTTCTGGTGTCCTTTGACAGCTCTTTGGTCTTGGCCATAGTGGAGTTTGGAGTGTGACTGTTTGAGGTTGTGGACAGGTGTCTTTTATACTGATAACGAGTTCAAACAGGTGCCATTAATACAGTTAACAAGTGTAGGACAGAGGAGGCTCTTAAAGAAGAAGTTACAGGTCTGTGAGAGCCAGAAATCTTGTTTGTTTGTAGGTGACCAAATACTTATTTTACCGAGGAATTTACCAATTCATTCTTTAAAAATCAGACAATGTGATTTCCTGGATTCTTTCCCCCCATTCTGTCTCTCATAGTTGAAGTATACCTAGGATAAAAATTACAGGCCTCTCTCATCTTTTTAAGTGGGAGAACTTGCACAATTGGTGGCTGACTAAATACTTTTTTGCCCCACTGTCTGTGTTGGTTAAAAAAACGAATAATATAATATAATAATCTTTTTCATTCAAAAAATTTTGGTTAGTGAAACGTCTCCCCACACCGGGTCTGTCTCGATAATCGTAAATTTTCTGTTCCTTTGTGGTCGTGAAAACTTTTCCGCGGGTTTGCTCCCAATTTACCTCTACGTGTTACAGAAACTCAAAGGCTTCGGTTGTGAAGTCTCTGTGCAAAATTCTACAAATAATTAACGTCCTTTCTCATTTTCCCTGTGAAGTTTCAGTATATTCTAATCGTTCAAAAGTAACCGCCGAACTTGATGAACTCGTCCGAAGTTTTTACGGACAATTATGTTTCATCCGTACTGTTTGTCGTGTGTCCTGACCTTCCTTTTCTCTGTTATTCGATTGTAACGGAGTATTTTGCTTAGGATAGTTGGACGGGTCTACCCGGGGGGACACCCGCCAACAATCCCAGGGGTCAGGAATTTCCTTTTTTCTTTTTGTTCCGCGGTCTGTTTTATTAATAAGTCACTCTTTTACAGGACTGTTAGAATTCCCTCCCGGCCGCCTCCCTGCATCTTGTTCGTCTTAGAGGGGCTGAGTGTGTTTGTTTCCGGGAAAGAGCGTCCAACTGTTCAGTCAAGCGCTGTGGTGTATCTTTGCATTTCCCCTGTGTAATTACCACGTGGACTGTGATTGCCATTTAATGTTCGGGTCCTCGTTCTGGTCGTTCGTTTACCGTCCGACTTTGGACGAAATGGTGGACTCGTAGGGGAGTTACGACACACACTCTCCCTCCCTCTGGTGTGTGTGTCGCTCCTCTCACTGTCCCGCCTACTTTCGTGCCGAGTCAGGTCAGGGGTTCATAACCAAGGTTACTCACAATGATTTAATTGTTGAAAGGATTTGGTAGCGGGAGACAATAACAAGGTAAGTTTGGGCGGGTACATAGTTCGATTAACGGGAGGGGCAAGCTACACTTTTTCAGGGGCCGTGTTAAATTTGGAGCCGTAGACAACTAATTGTCAGTTAACCGACTCACCGGTGGCGTGAAGTAGGTGTGTCTCTCACTCACCATACACAGGAGTGTTGTGTTGGAGGCAAACGGACGTCTAGACGGTTGTAACTAGTGTGTGGTTGTTGTGGATGTTTGTGTTTGTAACGTAGGAAAAGAGGGGAGCACTGAAAGTGGAATAGGGATAAAAAACATTGGAGGAGAGGGCATGTTTGTGTTGTGAATTTAGGGAAGGTGTGTTTTGTGTGTGTGTAGGAACGATTGTGTGTATGTTATTTTTTTGTTTTTTGTTCGGTCCGGGTTACCGGGACATCGGTGCCGGAACCACCCGAAGGTTTGTAGCCTTGTCTATTCTCCGTGTGTGGTGACGTTCTACAGAGGACACCTAGACCCAGAGTGCGTGCGTGCGTGACGTGGTGCGTGCGTGCGTGCGTGTGCCGTGACTGCGTGGTGTGTGTGTGTGGTGTGTGTGTGTGTGTCGTGTGTTGTGTGTGTGTTTGTGTGTGTGTGTGGTGTGTGTGGTGTGTGTGTGTGTGTGTAGGGAGACTGGCAAGATGTGTGTCCCAACGGTCTGATTACCGTTCCTAATGTACTCCTGCTCACCTCTATGGTTGGGGTGGTGTGTACGAGGTATTGACACATAGTAAACTGCAAAAACCTAGACTATGAATTACCCGGGGTATTGCGCGTAGCGAACGTTTGATTTTATGTTTGTCGTCTGTTGCTAAAGGAACAATGACGTTGGTTGGAAAGGAAAAGGCTCGGGTTGCAGCCTCACTAAATTCGGCGTCGGGTGCAGAGTAAGTGCTCAACCTAAGTGCTCGGGGACCATTCCTTTTAGGAAGTCCACTAAACACGGGTACGAAACCCACGTGAAACCCGTCATACACAAGTACAATGAGGGTCTATGGTGTCACCACGACCCTCCGGTTCCGTGGGTTTTTTGAATTATTTGTTCGCCGATTCGATAAAGTCTATAAACATGCACTTGTTTGTATTCCGTCGTCGTCTAGTGTTGTATGAAATTATTTCGGTACTTACGTGGAAACATAGGAGTTTCCCCCTTTATAGTATAGTTGCCGCTAAGCTTTGTATATCTGTGAACGCACACGAGTCAAAAAGACACAATTTAAGCACGTCCCCAGCAGTCGGACTTCGGCCAATACCGTTAGTTTCTTTGAATTTGTCTTAAACGGAGGAGGACCTAGAGGGTGATACTTATTTTGGTTTTGTTGTGTCGTCAGCGAGTGAAGTTAGAACGAAGTAGGCAGTCGCACCCCTTTGTAAGTCCCTTAACGAGAGCGGATAAATACGTAGGGTGGGTGGACGCTTTGGGCTATGGCGACGCGCAATCCTAGTCCAAAATTACCTCTTAATGCTTCCGAAAAAAAGAAAAATGCTCAAACGAAGGAATAGTGAAAAACGTAATTTTGTACGGCCATTAACTCCAAAGCAGTGAAATGATCGTTTTTATAATATATTTCGGAGATTGAACACTGGGTAAAGAAATAGACTGAAACGACATTGTGTGTGTGTGTTGTGTGTGTGGTGTGTGTGTTGTGTTGTGTGTGTGTTGTGTGTGTGTGGTGTGTGTGTGTTGTTGTGTGGGTGGTGTGGTGTGTGTGTGTTGGTGGTGTGTGTATGTGTGTGTGTGTGTGTGGTGTGTGCGTGCGTAGTATCCTTATAAGTACAGAACTTGTGTCCGACTTGCCGAAATATCTTCGTCAGTACCCTCTGGGGACTCTTGGTCCGAAACTGAGTCACCAGGTCCCCCCCCTCTCGCCTCCCGTCCTCCTTGTTGCTGAACCATGGTGTCGCTCTCGTCCCCCCCCCCCCGACTCTCCAGTTCTCCAGTCCGGGACTACCCCACTCTCCGACTCCCACATGAACACTTCCCCTAATAGTTCTCTTTCTGTCCCCTATCTCTTATCTCTTTTCTTGACCCTTCTTTCTGTATCGTCCCTTGTGCGGGATTCGGGACCGTAGAAGTCTCTCTAATTGGCACAATTACTCGGGTAAAGTAGGTCTTGCGTCTAGCTGGCGAGTTAGCCAACGCAAAGTTGGACCTTCTTCTGTCCAGGACGGAGCGCATTCCCACCCCGTTCATGGAAGACTTTTATCCATCGTAACTGCTCCGGAATAAGGACGAAACCACCCAACAGGGACAGGACATTCACATATATACCAAGTCACGTAGCATTTTTACCAGGACGTTTCCGATTTTAGGTTGTTCGGGACTTTGCGGAGGTATCCTGAGGAAACAAATGAAGACATGTATCTCTGTTCGTGATACATTGTGAACGGCGAAGATTAACCCATCATAGGTTGTGAACTGCATATCCGATTCCCCGCCCTAGGAAACTCGCCACTGGTTAGGTTGCGCGTCGCGGCGGCGATTGGGTTAGTCGTCGTCTGACCCGAGGACAAAGTTGTCTGCCCACTTTTCTTCCAGCGACGTCGGTTGTCCCGTCATACTCTTTTTTTTTCGAAAAACGTTGTAATNCTGATAACGAGTTCAAACAGGTGCCATTAATACAGTTAACAAGTGTAGGACAGAGGAGGCTCTTAAAGAAGAAGTTACAGGTCTGTGAGAGCCAGAAATCTTGTTTGTTTGTAGGTGACCAAATACTTATTTTCCACCATAATTTGCAAATAAATTCTTTAAAAATCAGACAAGAATAGACACGCTACAAGAATATGATGATCCTATCGATTATATTGCTGCAGATTAAACAAAAATGTAACATAATGCAGCAGTAATAATAAATAAGAAACATCATTTATAATAGTTTAGTGTAGTGTGTGTGTGTGTGTGTGTGTGTGTGTGTGTGTGTGTGTGTGTGTGTGTGTGTGTGTACCTCTGCAGACAGTGGTCTCTCAATATCCTGCAGTTGATGAACTGAGTGATGCGAGCATCGGACACTGATTTGTTGGATGGCATTTTTTTGAGTGGAGTGGATAAGCTTCCTCTGACTGAGAAACACAGCAGAATAAATCAAACACTCCTCTTTGGGTGCATAATGTGATTAAATGTAACACGTAATGACAACAACACATTTGAAAATCAAAGTTCCCAAAGATCCCACTTTAAAAAACAGACATGGAAATTAGGGCTGCAACTAACAGTTATATTAATTTCAGGACATAACCTAAACCCCTGCACCTTAAATAGTGGTTGCTGCCAATTAATCCACATTATTTAGATAATTTAACAAATGCCTTTATTAAAGTGTGTGTTGACTTGTAACCCTTTTGATAATTACCATCTGAAAGACATGTCTCAATCACTTTATCTGATGATGCACCAGTATTAAATCATATCTAAAATCTTATCAGTGTAGGTGCAGCAGTTGACTTTGACCTCTGGTCTTCTTGTTGCTACAATAACTGTCTCTGGCTCTGGTTCTCTGCTGGGAAATGCACAACACCAAACTCCATGCAAAAAAACGGTAAATTAAAGCTTTTGATAGCTCTGACCTACTTGACATACCTTGAGAGGCAAAGACGTAAAATGTCAACACTTGGAAGAGTCCAGTAGTCAACTCGGCATACAGTAAAAGTTTAATTCAACAGCTCCTCCAGTCAAATATGAACTTCTTCTACCGCCACACCGTCGCTCTGCTTCCACACAAATACAGGAGATAGCTACGTTAAAACCCCATATTTTATAAACGAGTTCGTTGACAGTACATTCCGTATTTCCCTTCAGATATTTTGACTTTAGCAGGCAAAAATTAAGTGAACTGTTGTTTTACAGTGTTAAAGTACTTATCTTGAGGTGGTACTTGCCCCAGCCAGGAGCGTTTTCAGCTGATTCTGTGGAATAGAAACAGGGGAAACGGATGTCATGTGACGAAACGGAGCTGCAGGTCAGTTGATCAAAAAAAATAAAATAACTGTCCCTGCAGTTTGATCATTTGAATCCTGCTGAATACATTTAAAACCACAAGTTTGATATTTTTCTAAATAAATTTGAGAAATTACTGCAAAAATAAAAAGTGTGTGTGTGTGTACGTGTGCTCAGAAACGAAAGGCACACGTAGACACTAGGTGGAGCTCAAACACAACACTAGTTATTTCCCGAAATATAGAAACCTCACTTGACTTCTCTTCTAAAACCCTTTGTCAGTGCCATGAATTCTGATGCATTAGTACATGATGCTTTTGAAGCAGCATCATGTATGTATCTAGAGCTACCTCTGTTATTCATATCTTAAAGTCTAAAATTTTTATGGAAAGCCAATTCTCTGCAGGTTAAACACGTTCGGCTTTGATACATTACTGATCATCTTTCTCTACGTTTACTTGAGTTTACTACATTGTTATTTTGGCTGCTACTAACGACTGTTTTTTAATTATTGATTTACCTACAGATTGTGTCATAGATGTATCATTTGGTGTACAAAATGTTAGAAAAAAGTAAATAAAAGTCTACCCCAGTAACTCAAAGCCCAAGGTGATGTTTTTAAATGTCTTATTTGTTGGTCCAAAACCCAAAGATATTTGCTTTAATATGAAAAAAGAGCAGCAAATATATAACAATTAAAGGCAGTCCTGCATGAGTTACTTAAACGATTGAAGAAGAGCTTTCTTGTCTGTGAATCTACTAATGTTTGCAGCACAGTGTCACAGCTTTGACTGCAGCTTGTACTTGTAATTAAGTACTTTTACTTGTAATTAAGTACTTTTACAGTCATCTTTTTATACTTTTAATAAAAAAATCCTTCTAACCCAACAGCAGGGAAATGTACAGTGCTAAAACAGCAAAGGGTTACACATTAAATACATATAGTAAATTCAGAAGCTTGGTTAAAGCATTATACAAGTAAGTGAACTAGTTGGCAGAAATAAACAGTATATATTGCAGTCAGTAATAAAGTATTTCTACATCAAAGTATTTGTCCTTTGATCTCAGTAAAGTACTGCTGCCACACTACGTTTGCACACAGTGCAGGTGCATGACCACTTATCGTCCCACCTGACGTGAGGTTAGCAGGACAATGAAGTTAACCCTCTGCAGGATATCTTCACTCTACCAGGAAGTAGCACCAACCCTCTCGTCTCGGACGCCCTACCCCCCCCCCCCCCTTCGCCAGCAACCCCTCCCCATTCCTGAAAGTCAACAATAAACTACGTTTCCAGTAAGCCGGATACCTCCCAAAGGCCTGCTCATCCCCATGGAGACCACTACGAGGGTCTGCAGGCCCGCGTCCCCTGGCCAAACCCGGCCACCCATGAGGTGGGAGCAGCTATGGAGAACTCACATATATAAGTAAATATATATACAAGTAAAATAATGCTGCTGCAGCTGATCTATAGTCTGGAGACCTCACTAACACTAAGAAAGTGGATCACTCCAGCTCTGAGGTCTTTACTCTGACTTCCTTTGTGCCAAATACTTGTTACTTCAGAAATGTTGATTATCTTAAAACACTAAAGGGTTAAGGGCCATGACATGTTTCCTATCTTCCGCTATATTATGAACCATGTAGCTCAAATTTCCCTCTTCTTTATAACCACTGATGTCTTTAAGTAGAGACCTTGAGTAAATGTACTTTATTACTTTAAAACACTGGAAGAGAAGGACATAATATATTTCCCCCATGGATCAGAAAGATCTCCTCAAAGCGTCTCTGCATGGACATGAAGAGGATTCTTGGCCGGTGAGTATTTGCGAGGAGAACCAGGACTGGTGTAACATATTTTACGGTCTCCGTGTCCCCCTCTTTTGTGGGCCGTGACGTCAGTGTTCCCCTCAGTGACACAGTAGCTTTGTTTTAGAGTCTCCACATCTCATTCACGGCCGCTTGGCTCAGAGTCCGGGGTCTGCGCAGTGGCCTTTCAGCATCCCGACTCCTTAATCCTCAAGTTTTTTAAGGCCCTGAATAAGCAGCCGTTTGTGTGCTAGGTTTAGGGGCGGCGGAGTGCTTCTTGTTACGCACAGGCCTAGGGGAACCTCGGCGCAGCACAAAATAGCCCTCTCCCCACTCTTCCCACTCCCAAGAAATGGTCAATGACAGAGGAAAATGCATTTGGTCATTTTAATTACCTGTTTAACGAGAAATGTTGACTTGCAAAACAACTGCTGAGGACAGAGAGGGGACGATTGCTGGCAAGGTCATGGTGAAAGGTGACACTGCTCACATTTGGAGTTTAAACACAAACAACAATATGAGTTTCTTCTGTGTTCTTCTTATATGATTTTAAACTGAACATTTTTGAGATTCAAATATGTTGTTTTCAGCTCACATTTCCTGACATTTTAGAGACAAGGTTTGGATAAGATAATAAACAGACCTATTGGCCCCATCCTCCGGTACGTGGCCAACAGGTGCAACCGCTTTTAAACGGGTCAGAACACTTACATTAGGAGAAACACGCTGCAGTTTCACAGTTTTACACAATTGTGCCAAAACTAATGCAAAGGAAGAAACATCTTCACCAACTTCACAACACATGGAAAGCACTTAGAAAACATTCACTAACTTGACGAAACATGCGCAGCATTTACTAAAAGCACCGCGTAAACAAAAGAGATTTGTATTTGCGTGCTTGCACCTGTCAGCCACCGTATTCAGGGGCCCAACAGGTGAGAGACCCTGTTTGAGGTAACTGCTAAAATGTCCTAGATGGAAGTTACAAATAGACACAAAATGATCACAAATAGACCAAAACTAAATATAACAAAAACACATAATATGATCACAAAGACACGCAAAACTACCAAAATGTGAATTAGGAAAACCAAGAAGAGACACTGAATGTTTAAAAAAAGATGCTAAATAACAAAAAAGGGAAACAAAAGGACCAAAAATAGACATACTACAACCAAAAGAGAAAAGAACACAAATGGATGTAAGGCCTACAAAAAATTGAAATACAAAAAATTGAAAGTGAAGAAAGTATAAATAATAACACAAATAGGAACCAAATATAAAAAAGAATATATATATATAACTTAGACCTGTTTAGTCGAAAACTATGCCGGTGATCACGTCCACTTCTCTACTGCCACTTTTCTGTCAAAGTCAGGCCGCCGTTTCGTTCTCCCCTTTTTTTGTCTTTGTACTTCTTTGATCTCCGTAGGTGAGGTTCCACCCAATAACATACTTAGTTTACAGTTGAACGCTTACACATATTCAGTTGTAACGGTTAACGTATAATTTTGTAGTCGACATTAAGTGCTGTATTTCTTCCGTCAGAGACGTATCGTATATCCGATTACCTCTACGTACAATAAAGGTCGTATAGAAATAATTGGTAAGTAAGTTCATACAATACGGAAAATAAACGATTTACATGTCTCCTTCTCGCTATTTTGACAGGACAGATCAACCGAAATGGTATTGTCAAGGTTCAAAGTTGTCGGAGTTTTTTGTACCTATTAAAAAAGGGAAAATAAGTAAAAATACAGTTAAACGTGTAAAGTACCACTACGAGGTCGGAGAGGGGAATTGAGGATGTGATAGGTCGGTACAGTTGGCCGTTGTGGTCTCGCTTTCATCTACATCTTACACACACATCAACAAATATGTAACGACTGTCTCCCTTGATGTAAACTTATGTCTAAATTCTTTATAGTCAAAAACTCTTCATTATTCGTACAAAACAGAACTGATATCTCGCTGATATAATATTATTATATTAGGATCATAAATATAATAACTTAACTAATACTAATAATAATAGTCATCTTCATCAAAATAAACGTAATTAATATAAAATTAGACAACCACAACTCCGATTCATAAACCGTCCTTTACGTCTGCATAAGTGGACATTTGCGTATGACTTGCTGTATGTACGTATAAATGGTAAATGGAGTGACGTTGTTTCATTGACACAACTATTATTATTATAGGATATAAGTCTTTCTAATAACATGGAAAACGTATGATACACATCGAGTAAGCATGATTAGTAACAAGTGTGTGTCTTTGTTAAGACTTATGGTTTCTAGGAGACAGCCGGGAAAACTCACATCATACTCCTCTCCCCCGGAGTAGTAGTGCTTACAAGCCGTAATCCCCCGGACGGAGTAATCACAGACCACCGGATACGAGAATGGAGTCTCCGTGAGACTCTTCTGAGCGTACCCTACTCTGCACATTGATCGAAAGACAATGAACCTCCCCCCCCACCCTCGCCGCGACCGACAGTAGGGAGCAACTCGAACTCTCGCTGTTAGGGATGACTCCTAGACTACTCGTCTAATCAGGGCTCACGCATCTCTGTAAGCGAAGTGTGTACACGCGTAATAACTCAAGGGATGTACACTAGAATTCTACAAGGACACGAGTCTTAGGCGTACGGACGTGTGTGTACTCAGTAAACGTCTTGTGTCATGTGCTTTGAAGCAAATTTTGTCTCTATGAGTACTACTATCACTGGATCACTCCACAGCAGAATCTCCTCACTATCCTCTTATTATTATGAAATTACTGATCATTTGTTGTACTCTACTGGTTTACTTGGTTGATGACTTTACCTAGGTTGTAGTTTTCTGGGTGTCATTAATTGTCAAGTTGATGATGTACGAGAATGTATATATCGGGCATAAATACCCGACACACTTAGTACACCCGTAACTACAGTTGTTCTCACCGTGTCCGTACAGGTGCGACCTGACTCCTCTCGGTCGTTCTTCTCTTTGTGTGGTATCTCTGTATGGGGGATCACCTCACATCACCCAGCATTTATCGACAAATTCATTTACGGTGATTATTAGTATGGTTACCATTTGAAACACCATTGAGTAAAGTGGTCGGGGCCTCATCATTTGGCTAATCAACGAATACTATAGTCTAACAAATAAGT